ACCAAAGTACTGTATTAACATTGAGGAGAAATGGGAAAATTTCAAGACAAACACAAGCTATAAAGCAATTTATGCTAAGTCAGAAATATAGAAAATCCTTAAAAGAATAGTAAATACAGAGGAAAAGAAAGACAGTTTCACCCATTAGAACACAGGAAAGAATACACTTCATATGAGCACAGACAAGCATTGGGGAGCAGGGAGGGAATTAATTTTGTCTAACACAGCAAACCAGCAAGCACCCAATGCTACCAGGAGAGAGATAAAAGACTTACCGATAAACCAGCCAACCAGAACAACAACCAATAGAATATTAGTAATGGCAAACTCTTCACTAATTGAAGTGCTTTAAAATAAAACAAATTACAGGGATGGAGAGATGGTCAGTGGTTGAGAGCACTGGCTGCTCTTCCAGAAGACCTGAGTTCAATTCCCAACATCCTCATGGCAGCTCACAACTGTCTGTAATTCCAGTTTCAGGGTACCAGACACCCTCACATAGGCATACCTACAGGCAAAACACCAATGTACGTAAATAAAAATTGTTTATTTATAGAAATGAAAGAACCAAAACCAAAACAGAGCAGAGACCATCATCAGTACCTTGAATGAAAACACCCTTCACTTACCAGTGAAAAGACACAGCCTGTTCTACTTTGCTTTCTGTTGCAGTGATAAAATGCTAACCAAAAGCAAGGGAGGGTTTTATTGGCTAACGAGTTATGGTCTATCATATAGGGGAAGCAAGCAGAAACTTGAGGCAGGAACTTGGAGACAGGAACTAAAGCAAAGGCCATAGAGAAACTGATTACTGGATTGTCTCCTAGATTGCCACCCAGCTATCTTTTTAATAGGTCAGACCCACCTGCCTAAGAATGGTTCTACCCACAGTGGGCTGGGCCCCATTGAATCAATTGGCAATCAAGAAAATGTCCCCATTGATACTCCCACAGTCCACTCAGATAGAGACAATTCCTCAATTGAGATTCTCTCTTCCCAGGTATGTCAAATTGACAACCAAGATTAGCCATCACAAAGACTAAATAGATTAAAAAGAAAAACAAGATCCAATTATCCCGTCTCCCAAGAAACTCACATAACTAGAAAAGACAACCAAAAATTTATAGAGTCAAAGGTTAGAAATAAACTTACCAAGCAAGTAGAAGCCATAGACAGGCTGGATTAGTGATTCCCATACTGATAAGTAGACTTCAAACCAAAACCACTCAGAAACATTAACCACATATTAATAAAGGGAACCATTCATCAAGAGGATATAACCATTGCAAATATTTATGTACTGGATCTTGGGGCCCACAGTTTCTTGAAACAAACAGCGACAACATCAAAGGTCACATAGGTCCTGACACAGTGATAGTAGGAGACTATCACTGTGTCAGGACCTATGTCCCTAACTCACTCTCATATCCAGAGAGGCCCTTTCAAACTAAAACACAGCAAAGGAACTTTAAAAAATCATATTACCAGTCAACAGGGCTTAACAGATACCTACAAATTTACTTCACCCCTGACAAGACCTTGTAAACCTACCTTGAAATACTGGGGAACTCGCAGGATTCCTGTCAGGCTTCTAGACCTGTTAATTTCTGCTGAGGGGGCCGCAGGCGCATACACTGTCCTGGTGCACCATCTTGTGGCACTGTTTCAAAATGCAGCTTTCAAGTGTCTGATTAAGAGGCTTTATGACAAAAAACAATTTACAAGGCCTTTCCTCCTAGTCATCGCATCTTTAAGTGAATTAAGTGAACCTTTTGGGGGAGAATCAACACTGCTAATATAATTCAGGAGGTGGGATGGTCGAGAGACAAGGCTCTGGGAGTTGGCAACAGAGATCAGAATCTCCCCATTTCCTGTGTATTAAGCCCACAGTTTGAGCATGTACTCTGCATCTGCTGTGAGTTAGGTTCTCACATGCACAGTGGATGTACAGTAGAAGACAACTAAGGATGACCAGATAGTGGAGGAAAATGTGGAACAGGTAAAAATCCCAAAGTAAACAAAAGTGGACAAAAGAGCAATGGGATAATCCCAGAACATAATAAAATATTAAAACAGCAACCTCCTAGAAATTAAGCAACATATTGCTACTTTAAAATGTAATAATAGGCCATAACCGAAAAGAACAAGAATGGGCACATAGACGTCAAATCTGTGATTAGATGCATACACGGAGACAAAGTGCAAGCTATGTGAGAGCAAAACAAAGACCAAGGAAACGGACCGCGACAGCCCAGGAGCCCAGAGCTGAGTAAGTGTTCTAAAGAGAGAAGACAAAGTCAGGAAAAGGTGGAGAAAAGTTTTGAGACCTACCATGAGGTATAAATCTGCCCATCAGAAAAGAGCACTTCCTGTTAGGATGGATGAAAGAAAATCTGCTAATGAGGAGTCATTGCAGCATTTCAAAAAAGACCGTGAAGATAGTAGAGACAGCCCAGTGGTAAGGGTGCTTGCTGTCAGCCTGAGAGCCGAGTGTGGTCCCTGGGCAAGTTGTCCTCTGACCACACACACACACACATACACACACACACACACACACACACACACACACACACACACACACACACACTGTTTTGTTTTTCGAGGCAGGGTTTCATGTTTAGCCCTGGATGTCCTAGAACTTGCTTTGTAGGCCAGGCTGACCTCGAACTCAGAGGTGCCTGCTTCTGCTTCCCAGGTGCTGGGAGTAAAGGTGTGGGCCACCACACCCCGTCTTAACACTTTATTTTTAAAGTAGATTTTTAAGGTTAGTAGTCATCTGTATTAGCCAGAAGATGGGGATGTTCCATTATATTTGTGGTTCTAAGCATTCTTATCTCTAGTTTCAGAAATAATTACACAGAAGGTCCTATATGTCTTCCACTGTGGTCAACAATGGCTTTATCTTAGTGTTGTTTGTATTTTAAAAGTCAGGCTTAGTTGGGAACATTGTAGTGTAACTTTCCACTTTCAGATGCCACAGATTTATTATTATTATTATTATTATTATTATTATTATTATTATTACTTTATCAGCGACTGTGTGTGATGGTCATTCTTCACTGTGAACTTGACTGGGTTTACATTCACCTAGGAAACACATTTCTGGTTTCAGAAAGGTGTATGTCATTGTGTTTGGGTATGTGCACGTGAATGCAGGTGCCCACAGAGGCTGGAGGTGTTGAATCTCCTTGGAGCCAGAATTAGAGGCAGTTATGAGCCACTCCATGTGGCTTCTGTGAACTGAACTTGGGTCTTCTGCAAAAGCAGTACATGCTTTTAACCACTGAGCTGTCGATCTCTGTAGTTGTCAGACGTTTGTCACAGCACCAGACACGTGACTAATATACTGCCAGGCAGATTTCCTTGCTGTGACACCTGAGACAACATAACAGAGGAAGATTTATTTCAGCTGGTTTTAGTCCATGCTGACTGCTGCAGTGATTCTGTGCCTGTAGTGAGGTAGCTCACCATGGAGTAAAGGTGTAGTAGGACAGAGCTGCTCACCTGAAGGCATCTAGAGATAGGAAGAAACAAGTAGGATCCAGGGATGGGACAGGTCTTACAAAGCCATTGCTCCGGCAGGCTTATAGAACCAGACCCCACTTCCTAATACCTGCTATAATGGTGTTAGACTATAAAACCATGGATGGATTAGTCCACGGAGGAAGATGAGAGCCTGTAGGTATCAGTCACATTGCAGTGGTTGTGCTCAACAATCAGGGACCAACCCCTGAGCCTTTGGGGGACCTTTTATACCCAAACCATAATAGTGCCCAGCATACTGACCACCTCACTCCTCAAAGAGACCAGACACCTGCCTTTCTAGAGAAAAGCCTCATCCATTTATCCAAGGTTGCTACAGATATAAGCATCTAGTTGTGCCCTAACTTGAAAAAGATTGATTGAACAATGACACTGAAAATAAAAAGGCCAAGGACGGTTGTAAAGGTCTTCAAAGCTGTTCAGTATTTCCAGGTTGCTTAAAATTTGTGTTCCAGCAAAAGCAGGCAGGTGTTAGTTCCCATAATCTGGTTTGTTGCTGTTGAGTATCATGACCTCTATCTGGAATATCTTCTCCTTGTCCCCTTTCCATGCCCAGATCCTGTCTATCCTATAAGGACAATTATAATATTCTCCCCCCTCAATGTTACTAGTCAGAACTAAGATCAAGAAAAATGTATGTAAAGAATAGTAAATGTGGCAGGCTGGTAATTCTGTTTGGGGAATTGAGGCAGGAGGCTCATGAGTTCAAGGCCAGCATAGGCAATTTAGTAAGATGCTTTCTCAAAACAAAACGTAGAAAAAGCAGGCTGGAGATATATACATCTCAGTGGTAGAGTGCTTATTTAGCACACACAGAGCCCTAGGCTCAACCCCTAGTACTGTTAACAAACAAACAAAAAACAAAACAACAACAAAAAAACCAAGAAAACACACACATAGGTTGATATGATATTAATAAATTATATATTTGGATACATTTGTTATAGTTTAGAAACACTAACCTGGAAGCATTCTTTTCTTTCTTTGAATTCTTATAGCAAATTTTATGTCCCTAAAGAATTTATTTATAACTCACTAAATATTTATGACGTCCTGTCTACTAACTAGTCAAGGCATCATCACAATGATAGGAGGTTTGCTTGTTTCCAATGCTCAGTCTCGAGTATGGAACAAAGTTTTAAATCCCACCTTCATTCTTACTTCCGTAGGATAAATTTTGTTGCTGATGTTCTGCTGTATTTGGTTGTACTTAGAGAAATGGAAAGCAGCTTACAGGATGTTCCACATGAAAAGCTGGGATGGGGCTAATAGTGGGACAGAGAGTGCTATTAGAAATACCTTTTTTTTTTTTTTTGCTGTATAGGTTAATATTTGAGGAGGTATGAAAGTCGTATTGTTGCTACTACCTAGGGAAAAAAGAGTGAATTGAACGTGTTTGTATTAAATTATAATAGTGGAGGTAATAACAAATGTATTTCTTTCTCATATTAATTTAGGGATGGCTACCTGCAAAAAACCTGGGAACCGAGAATGCAATCATCATTGTAAAAATAAACATACGTGTGGACATGACTGCTGTGAGTTCTGTTGAGATTATTTCAAAACTGAAATGTCTTTGGTGAATATGGCTGAAGAGATGGCTCTGTGGTTATGTACTGCTTTGCAGAGGGCCTGAGTTTAGTTCCCATCACCCACAGTTGTCTACAACTTCACTTCCAGTGGCTCTAGCACTCTCTTCTGGCCTCCAAGAGCACCTGCACTCATGTGCACACATATACACACATATAATTAAGGATAAAAAATAAGTTAAAAAAGAAATATCTTGAGTGAATATTTATATCATTCAAATTAAAACTCTTCAAATAATTTTCCTTTGTGGTAGGGGAGAACAACATGAAAAAAAGTAAACATTAGATTTGACATTTCAAAGACATTTAGGTTTTTTGTTTTTTAATACTACCAAAAATGTAATACAAAAAAATTCTAAAATTTCACTTTCCATGTTGGTCAAATCTATTATCAAGTACTTGGGAGGCTGAGGCAGGAAGATTGTGAGTTGAAGGCCAGGTTGGGCTGCATAACAAGATTCTGCCTTAAAAAACAAAAAACAACAAGAAGAGAATCTACAATTTCTTTTAATAGGTAAAATTGGAGTTCCACAAAAGCCAGAAGTTAAAGAGTCAGCAATGTCTTCGTATTTGTCTGACTTAAAAAGCAGAAATGCTGTTTCTTCTTTTCCTCCAGTTAAACGACTCAAGGTTAGTTTTAATAGCATTTATCCTTTGTTCTGCAACTAAATGAATGCAAATGTCACTTGTCCCCTGTATCACTAAGGAAGGTAGAGATCTACAGTGTTCTTTAAAGTTATTTATGGGCTTGACTAGGAATATGATCATTATTTAGAATCAGTCTGTCAATCTATTTTTGGAACATAACTGTCCAGCCCTTTCCTCACCATAATCTAGTGTGTATTTAAGCCAGAGAACTAGAAAAAGAAAAGAGTCTGAGCTTGACTTAGTTTAGCAACAGTTGAAACTAAACAGTCTTGCCCTATGTCTTGGCTTTATGCTGGACTGGGTTGGAAATTCTGAAATTAATTTGGATTCTTGCCCCTAAGTATGTGAATGAACAAGAGCTTTCCTTCCAAGTGATGAAGAAATGAGTGTCTGTTGCTTGGTGGGATAGCCACGAGTAGACTTTCCTTAAGCCCAAGTCATCACATCACATCCATCACTCAGAGTGCAGTGAGGCTAAACAAAGAGACTATTAGGAAACCCTAATATAAAAGAGAACCGTGAAATATAATGTGATCACCCTTGTCTTCTGAGAATATAATTTTGTGGCTTGGGTGGTGGTGGCACATGTCTTTAATCCCGGCACTCAGGAAGCAGAAGCAGGTGGATCTCTTGAGTGTGAGGCCAGCCTCGTCTACAGAGTGAGTTCTGGGACAGCCAGGGCTACACAGAGAAACCTTGTCTCAAAAAAAAAAAAAAAATGAAAAACAAAACAAAAACAATGAAAATGATTTAAGTTTTCCCTTCCTCCCTTCTTTCCTCTTTCCCTTCCTTCATTCCTACTTTTCTTTTTTTTTTTTTTTTTTTTTTTGGTTTTTTCGAGACAGGGTTTCTCTGTGTAGCTTTGCGCCTCTCCTGGAACTCACTTGGTAGTCCAGGCTGGCCTCGAACTCACAGAGATCCGCCTGGCTCTGCCTCCCGAGTGCTGGGATTAAAGGCGTGCGCCACCACCGCCCGGCCCTACTTTTCTTTTATATTCTTGTTTCTTCCCATCTTTTAAAGAATCAAGGATATGCCAGTATGCCACATTTATAGTGATAAGACAAATTTAGTCTCAATCCTCATTGAATTGATAGTTGAATAGAGAATACAAATAAGCTAATAGGCCTTTTCAGTGTAATGTGATGAGTGGTTCTGTGACAGGAGTGTAAGACACTTGGTTTTAGATAGAAAGTGTACTCAATACATATTTGATGAGCCAGGAAAGGATCCTAATAGATGTGGTTGAGACTGAAAGGATAACCCAAGTATACAGAATGGGCACCAAAATAGTGATGGAGACCGATAGACTAAATTTTGAAGTTCTGGAGTATTTGGTGGTGGCCAAGAGATCTTCCAAGTAGCTGAAGTAGCATAGTATGTCTGGAGATTAATTGTAAATAGAGAGCAATGAGGCTGAAGAAGTGGATAGGAATTAGATCATGCAAATCATTTTGTTATTTTTAAAGAGTTATATTTTATCATCAAACTATTTTGAAATACTAAAGTGCTTTAATTAATGGACTGATCAGAGTTGGGTTTTATAAAGGACATTCTGGCTGCAATGACAAAAAAGGAATTAGAATATTAAAAAACAGGAACATGGAAAGTCATTAGGTTGTGTAATTGACGCAAACTGATGGTAATCTAGGTTAGTGGTGGTAGGCAATGGAGAGCAGTGGCTGGACTTTTTTCAGAGGTACTTCATTGGTTGTGAGAGGTGAGGTGGAAAAGTAGTAGGCAAAACCAATGTTCAGCTTTCCGGCTTGATCAACTGGGAGAAAAGTTGGGCCCTTCTAGGGCAGTGAGAGTAAAGGGAAATCAAGTTTGGGGGAATAAAGACAGAATAGATTCTATTTAAGAAATACTGGGCCGGGCGGTGGTGGCGCACGCCTTTAATCCCAGCACTCGGGAGGCAGAGCCAGGTGGATCTCTGTGAGTTCGAGGCCAGCCTGGGCTACCAAGTGAGTTCCAGGACAGGCGCAAAGCTACACAGAGAAACCCTGTCTCGAAAAACCAAAAAAAAAAAAAAAAAAAAAAAAGAAATACTGGATACAGGGCTGGGAATAATAAAGTGCTCAATTGTTTAGTGCTAGCCTAGAGAATGTGTATTAGTTACTTTTCTCTTGATGTGATGAAACATGACCAAGGCAATTCACAACAAGCTTATTTGGGTTTGTGGTTCCAGAGGGTAAGATCTATCATGGTGGGAGGTGTGGCAGCAAGCAGTAGGCATGGTAACCGGAGCAGAAGCTCAGGGCTCTCATCTTGAACTGCAAGCATGAGACAGAGAGAGCAACTTGAAATGGTAGAATTCTTTAAACTCTCAAAGTGTACCTCTAGTGACCTATTCTCCAGCAAGGCCATACTTCATAAACCTTCCCAAAGAGCACCACCAGCTAGAGACCAAGTGTTCACATACATGAGCCCATGGCGGCAGTGGCGGGGGTGGGGGAGGTGGGAGGGTGGAGGGGTGGGGGGAAGGGGGGCGGGAGGGGACTCTCATTTGAATTCTGAGTTCAATTTCCAAAAACCACCACCACAAAAAAAAATAAGATATCCACATAAAGATGTCCTAGAGGCAGTTGGCTATAACTGGAAATCAGAAGGGGAATTGAAATAGAAATACAGACTTGAGAGTCATCCATAGAAGGAAGATAATTTAAGCCATGAAAGTCAAAAGATCTTTTTTTCTGAAAACATCACATATAGAACGAGAAGAGAGGGCCAAGTTAAAACAAAAAACTAAAAAGCGAAATGAAAGCTGTCTATATCTCAGAAGGGCCTCAGAAAAATATTTGAGTTGAGAACTAGCCTAACACTCTCCTAATTCATTGATTTCTGGGCTTTGTTTACCAGCAGTAACTTTACTATTTGGTTTATTTGTAAAAGTGGTAGTTGAACTTGGATGGCATTTTTTTTATTAACAGATACAGATGAACAAATCTCAAAATGTGGACCTGAAAGAGTTTGGTTTTACTCCAAGGCCTTCCCTGTCCAGCATATCAAGGTACAAATACAATGTTAATATCTAAGGTAAAGTATTCATTTAAATGTTGCTCCTCCAGATAGCCACTTATTCCAGGGAAGTTAGTCACTGACTGCTCAGTGAAGATCACAGTAATCATTTAATTTCATTATATAGCAACACTATCATAAGGGTTTCAGTATCTTACACATTACCATTCCTTGCATCTCCTCTTCTAGGAAACTACCCATCCCTTATGTCATCCCCTGGTTCTCTGCTTCTGAGAGACAGGACACACTGTGCTTTACAAGGAAGCCTGTGTTGGTGTCTTTCCTGTCTGATTTTCACTGCAGGTGCTCACTTCATGCTAATAATACCTTAGGCTTGAAAATACTTTATAATTTGAAATTGTGCTTGTACAGTATACCTTTTGACCTTCATAACAACATAGCTCATAAAATTATTTTACCTTATGCTATTTTATACCATTTATTTACTGGTTGGTATTTTGAAACATCTTGGTATGTAGCCCAGGCTGGCTTTGAATTAATTATATAGTCTAGAATGATCTCAAACTCATAATCCTATTGTTGTAACTTCTCAGGTGCTGTGATTGTAATTGTATATCTCAATACATGATGTTTAACTCATTTTATTAATAAAAAAGCAAACCTCATATTCCCAGTTAATAAGCAGAAGACCTCAGATGATAATTCATTGTTCTTTTCTTATATCATGATTCAGAGAAAAGAATATTGCGTATATAATTTCCTATTCAGCTTATCCTATTCAGGATATTCTTTTCTGCATTTTAAACTAATTTTTTATTCTTTGGCAGTTTAATATTGCATATAATGAATTTTAGTATCTTCACTCCCTATTCCCTTCTCTTACCCACTTTCCTTCTCCCACTGAAACACTTCTTTCCGGCACACCCTCCGACTGTCTTGTCTGTTCTGTGTGTGATCCACTGAGTGTGATTAGAGCCCTTTGCATAAGCATTGATGGAGATTATTTACTGGAGCATGGGCAACTTACCAGTGGCTACCTCGCTGAAGAAAGTGGTACTCCTCCCTCCAGCCAACAGGAGCTGTCAATGTCTCTCATATAGGAGGAGGGATAGTAGAATCCTATCTACTGAGATGACATTCTGTTTATTTACCAACCAATATAGAATAAGAGCCGACCAATCAGAAGTCTAGATCCCAGCACTACTTCTAGAGATCTCAACTTCTGTTATCTAGCTGAGAGCAGCCTTATCAGTAGATTTTTAAAGACTGTAATGATGGCAGGTGTCTGCTGGGGCATATAAAGTTGACTCTGTATTGGCCTCTTCCATCCAACATTTGCCTTTACCCTTTACTACCCCAGCTAATAAATTTGTCACAGAATTTTCCAGTGAATAAACTATGCTTTTTTATTTATATGAATAAGTAGTTTCCAAGGTGAAATTCATTATACTTCTTTTTTATGGTTTTGTTATCTTCATAAAGGTCAGAATATTTAAACATCCCTGAATTACCAGTATTGGAACAGTGGAGTCAGCGTGAAATCTATGGAAAAGTTCAACAGGAACCATCTGAGTATCATGACAAAGGTAAATTGCTGTTGCTATTGACTGGTGAGGGAGTTTGATATCACTAAGGTTAACAAGTCACTTAAGTGAAAAACCAGCATCTAAAAAGATTATAAATATCAACTGAAAACACTTTTCTCTTGGATTTTTGAGCCAATTTCAAATCCTTAGGTTATTTCAAATTGTCTTATGTGTCAAAGTTTTTTTTAAAGTATCTTTCCTACAAAATGTTGACTGTTTTATTTAACAACAATATGAGGAAGAACTAGGAGAATTAGAAATCTTTGTGTGAACAAAGTATTAAAATAATGATTTACTACTTTTATATCTTTTTAGAAATTTAAATAATGACTTTAAAATTAGACCAGTTTCATAAAATAGTTGTGCGACCTTGGGGAAATTATTTAACCTTTCGGGGTCTTAGTCTCATCTTTAAAAGGAAAGTATTAGGAGCCAGTGAGATGGCTTGTTGGGTAAAGGTGCTTGTTCCTGATGACCTGTTCTCCAGAGCTCACTTGGTGGAAGGAGAGATTTCACTCCTGCATCTTGTCCTTTGATCTCCATGTACACACTATGGCATGTGTGCAATCACACACACGTGCACACACACACACACACACACACACAAACAAATAAACGTAAAAAATATTAAAATAAAGTATTATGCCAGGCAGTAGTGGCATATGCCTTTATTCCCAGCACTCAGTGGGCAAAGGGAGGTGGATCTCTTAAGTTCGAGGGCAGTCTGGTCTACACAGTGAGTTCCAGGACAGCCAGGGCTACACAAAGAAACCCTGTCTCAAAACAAAACAAAAACAAAGTATAAATGAATGAATGAACGAATAAATAAATAAATAAAATGAAAGTATCAAAATGGCTGATTACTAGTATTTCTTCCATTCTTAAATCTATGATTCTTACAATTTCTAGATACAATGAGATGATAAACTACTTTGAAAAGCATAGAAATTTTGTAATCTAGATTTGCTTTTATCTGTGTCTTGCCATTAAAAATGAAGTAATACATATGAATTCTTCAGCACTATTTTTTGAATACCTATATTATTAGTGTTATTTCCCTACTTCATTCTATTAATAGCATGTTATATTGAAAGATGAGAAATAGCCCTAACCTGTGAGTCATTTGTTCAAGTGGCTGTATGTAAATGTAAATGAAATGATGAGCTTTGGAGTTTCCTGAAAACACTTTCACATTTGGCATTGACTTCATTATGTTACTTCATGTTTCCTTTGGTTACAATTTAAGTCGCTAGTAGCTGTGTATGCAGCTTAGTGATACAGTGCTTGACTAGCATTCATGACATCCTAGGTTCAATCACAACATTTCAAAATAAATAACTAGATATATAACCAAGAGGATCTGCTAACTCTTATGACATCATGACATCCATTAGGCCCGAGATGAGATCAGGGATGTCTTCAAATCTCACTTGGACAATCAGAAAATTTGTCAAAACTAATCATTATAAAACAGGAAGCTTACATTTCGATCTTTTTATTTCATCTTTTTTTAAACCCACAGCCCTCTGACTTGTTTTTCTTTACTGCTACACGAGTCTCTACTCCTCCCATGCACAGCTTACACTTTCCCCTGATTGCTTCTTGTATGTTTATTGTTTCCATTTTTTCTACTCATTACCCAAACTCTAATTTATAGTGTGATATAAAGCCTTATCTAGATACTTTAACCCAAAGTTCTCGTTTGACTGAATGAGCCCCTTGGCCTCCCTCCCTCTCTCAGCCTCCCTCCCTCTCTTTGTCTATGTGATAGTGAAGCTGACCGGATCTAAAACAGTATTTGGAGGTCCATATTCTAAATCTGCCACTCACTGTCACCCTCATAGTATACTTATGGACTTTACCTCAACTCTTCTACCCGATTATTTCAGACATTTTAGTATTAAATGAGATAATGCTTATAAAGCTCATAAAGTAATATTTGCTCTTCTCAGTGATGGCAATTAAGTATGTTTATTATAGTTTCCACACATTAGTCTTTATTGTCAAAACATTTTAAGTGTTGAGAATGTTGTAAGAAAAACATGGCAATTTTATTATCTGTATTCCAGTTTGACAAAGAGAAAAAGAAAAAAGTATTAGAAATTATATGAGAAAGCATTTTGAATCATAAAATTTAATTTGGAAGGGACCTTTGTGCAGTTTCTCATTTTACAGTAAAGGAAGCCAAGATTCTAAGAGATTAAATGACTCGCCCAAAATCACATACCTAATTAATGGCAGGCCAGAAATAGATTCCATATCTCCTGATTCCCAGTCCAATGCCATTTCTAGAAAATGAAATTGACTTTTAGTTATCAGTAGAAAATTGAGTGTTGAACTTATAGTATATGAACTCTTTCAACTTTCTGCCATCTCATCCCAGCTCACCCAACTGATGTATTTCTCTGATTTGGCATCTATCATTAACTCTCTATTGTCTTAAAAGAATTAGTTTTTCTTCTATTCAAGGTTTAATGTGAATTCTTTCTAATCGTGATTTTTCTGGGAATTTAGAAGGCCAGTTATTCGCTCCTCTGTTCAATATTTTCATTGTCTACTTTTTGGTTTTGGTTTATTTTTTGAGATAAGGTCTCTCCATATACCTCTGTCTGGCTTGGAACTCACTATGTTAGCCATACCATCTTCTAATTTGTTATTCTTCTTCCTCTGCCTCCCAATGCTGAATTACAGGTGTGCACCCCACACCCAGTTCACTGTCTGCTTTCTATTGTCTTTTTTTTTTTAGCATATAAATATGCTTAAGTCTTTTCTTTCTGCAGCTGCTACAAGTTTCCATCTAGCTAACCATGACCTTTTGTGATAATAAGTGATTTGAAAGGGACTTATGCACAAAAGAGAAAACTGGTTATCTTCCGATAAACTGGAAGTCCAAGTAGGCATCTAGCTTTAATCTTGCTAGCTCCAGGCACTCAGATGATCTCATACCTCTGGCTTTCTTTCAGTCTTTTAGCTATGTTTATTGTTAATTTGCTCCACTTGTTAAATAGGCTTTCTCACATGGCAAGTCCTCCCAAATTTTCATCTGTCCAGTTTAATAATCTCTCTAGAGAAAGGTAGTTTTCACTTGTAGTTGTACAGACGTGAATTCATTTTAACTAGTCTATTTTGAGTAATGTATTTATCCTGGGTAAATCTCTATTGCTGGGGAGTGGTCATTCTGTCCCTGTGACCCCAAGAAAGCAGGGTATCATGGTCAGTGGCCTCATCAGGATTACCTAGAATGACAGAGGCATGTTTTCCCCAAAGGAAAAGAAGAGTGCTTCTACTGATAGAAAGTTCAGCAAGCCAGAAAGATCATCATCATCATCATCATCCTGTGATCTTCTCTATATTTATATCTTACTTTCTTGTCAAACTAAAAAGTACTGAGAGAGCAATTCACACTTATTTCTTCCATCTTGGTTACTACTCACTCATTAAAATTTGAGCTCTTCATCATTACTTTGCAGCTGTTCTTCCTTGGGCATTTAGTGACTGAGGTATTCAATCCTGTGAAGTCTTCTCTGGAGGATCTGACGCTTCTGTTCCTTCCTCTGGGAAGTCTCTCCTTTGGATCCAGTTCAATCATCCTATTGATTGCTTCTCAGACTCTTGTTGGGCTTTTCTTCTTGCTGATGTTCCACATGAATCCATCTATTTGTAGCTAGAGTTTTCCAGCCTGGCCCACGGTCAGGACAAATCTCTCTCACCTGCCAATCCCACAGCCGCTCAGACACAACCAAGTAAACACAGAGACTTATATTGCTTACAAACTGTATGGTCATGGCAGGCTTCTTGCTAACTGTTCTTATATCTTAAATTAATCCATTTCTATAAATCTATACCTTGCCACGTGGCTTATGGCTTACCGGCATCTTCACATGCTGCTTGTCATGGTGGCGGCTGGCAGTGTCTCTCTCCCTCAGCCTTCCACTTCCCAGAATTCTCTTCTTCTTGTCCCGCCTACTTCCTGCCTGGCCACTGGCCAATCAGTATTTTATTTATTGACCAATCAGAGTAATTTGACATACAGACCATCCCACAGCAATCTGTTCTTTTCCTGTCTGTCTCCCTCCTCACCTCATTCCCTCCTCTGCTTACTGTTCTTCTCTGTCTCCTCCTTCCTCTCTCGTTATTCTTTTTACTGCAAAACTTGTACACAATACCTCCTGAGCCATATCTTCAATCACCAGTTAACTCTCCGTGGTTGCTAAGTCTGTCTTTTTCTAAGTACAAATCCACTCCTATAACCACCCTCTTGGGTATAGCTGCCAGAAAGTTAGCCGTTCCTGCACCTGAGCTTGGATCTTTGTGCAGCATTCCATCCCTTCTCTTTCCTCGGCTCAGTGCGTGACTCTTCTGTGCTGCTACAGGCAGAGAAAGGAGGATTCTAAATCTCTTACTCTACATGTAGCTGAGCACGAAGACCTAATGTTTTGTGCCATACACCACTCCCGTATTTGTTCCTTCATCTACGATTCTTACTGATACTTAGACTTAAATGCTCATTTCCTCTCCTTACTTTGATAACTTTCTTACATTTCCCCTGCTTCAGTCTCATTATCCTCTGCTCCATAAATATCCCAAGTGATCAAACAGGTGCCTGACCTTCTCGCAGAAGCATTTTCAATAGTCATCTGTGCTGATAAGAAGAGAAAACACTTAGTGTGACAAATTACTTTCGGCATGATCTGATACATGCCTGCCTGTGCAGTTCCAGTGGGTCCTTCTTTCTCTTGCATTGTGCTCTGAATTCTGAAGACTCCTAGCTCCTGCCTTCTCTGTCTGCTCACGCTGCTCCTCACCTCTTCTGTGCTGTTCTCCTGGATAGAATAGTGTGCCTGCTCCACAGCCTGAGGGAGCTACCGCTGTTCTTTCACACATTTTTAATCTTAAAGGGGTCTTTTACTCCAGTTGTTCTTTTCACTGCATTTCCATGGCATTTAATACTATTTCTCTTTAGTCCATACCATACTATGTGTGTCAACATACAAAAGTGTAATAATGTGACTGTAATTGTAGGCACAGCTGACAGAAGATGCAGGTGTGAACAGATGAGGAAGAGGACAGGATATTTAAAGTGAAATTAACTAGGACTTACACTGCCTTACGAGAAGTTCTTGTTAAAGTGTCAGAAATCTTTCAAACACTGTTAAAGTACTAATAAATTTGATACTAAACATTTTATGATAAATAAATTCCAGTCAAATGAATTATGTTAAAAACAAAGATGACAGTGTGGAAATCTAAAACTTCTTAATCTACTGTATGTTACTATTATTGGTGTTCTTAATATTTTTTTCTGTATAGGAAAATACTGTAGAGTGTGGTGCTACAAAGTTGTTTACTGTGGGAATTAAAATCAATTAAAATTATGGGACTGGCAAGATTACTCAGTGGGTACAGGAGCTTGTGGTGGCAAGTCTAGAGACCTGAGTTCAATCCCCAGGATCCGTGTAAAGGTGGAAGGAGAAAACTGACTCCACAAGTTGTATTCTGCCCTCCACCCATGTCCTGTGGCAGCGCACCCTCATGCACATGTTACACACACACATATACACAATAGTAAAAATGATAAAAATTAATCCATTGAAAATGAATTTTAGTGGATCTCTCAGTCATGTGATCCAGTAAATAGAATTGTCTGGAGAAAACATTCATCAGTGCTTGACAACATGTGTTCTTAAAAACTGGGGATCAAGATCTCTGCATAGCAGTTGAAAGATGTGTCATATATCAGTTCAAAATAATGCTTATGTGGTTTAACAAGTGCCTACACTCTTGGACACGTGTGACAGATTTTCTTGGATGGAACTCTCGTACAACTTCAAATGGAAGGACCCCTCAAACAGTGATGTTCAGCAGACACACTAACATATCTGGAAATCACAGCGTTGCAGATCAAAACAAGTCTTCTGAAGTTTTGGATGTGAACTTCGAGTTGGGAAATGAAGTTTGGGATGACTTTGATGATGAAAGCTTAATAGAAGTTATAAGTTTTTCAGCTGATGCTGAGAAGACAGCTATATCAGGTAAAACTTTTTGCATAAATTCATTAAGAAGTTTTTGGATATTTTTGTTTGGTCCCTGAGACTGCTTTTTTTGTCTTTTTGTATGTATTTGTTTAAGTAAGATTAGAATTTTTATCAAAACTAAAACCCAGGAGCAGCCAGTGCTCTTAACCACTGAGTCATCTCTCTACCCCCCCCCCCCCCCCCCGTCTCTTCTTAAAGGTCCTATTTAAATCCTTATGTTTATTAAATTGTCCCTCATAAAACAGAGTACCCTGGCCTCCCTTCTGAGTTCACAGGGGGTCTGCTACTCTGTGAAATAAAAAAGTATTATGTTTTTTAAGAGTATTCATCTGCTTGCAAGAAAATAACCTTTACTTCTAGTGGAAATGCTCACTTTTCAGGTATCAACAAACAAGTAAGTAAAAAGGGCTAGTGCTTTATTAGAAGGTGTGTTTAAACCATAAATAAACCCAACATCATAGACTTACATATTTGGGTTACAAACTTGTTCTGTTTTACTAAACAGATAGTTGAAACTCTTAGCAGTTATTTGACTAGAGGAAAAAGTGGTGATACTCTTCCTATGTGGCCAGACAGAAGAAACCAGTTCCTCAACCTGCAGAGCATCTTCCTCCACAGTTGCTTCTTGATGTCCTCTGCCTCAGACTGTCTAAACAGTCAGAACACAAAGCAACAACTACAAGAACCAGTGAGAAGTTCAAATGCTGTTGACTTGGAATCCTAAAGAGCTCAAGCTTTTCTCAGAAAGATCAGAACTTGATCACCTGCACAGAATAGGCCTGGAGCTCTATGATGTGGGGTCCCTGGGTATATTTCTTCTATCACTGAACAACTGCTGATCCCTAACTTGATTGTTGATGAGTCCTGACAGCTAGAAGTTGGTGTATGCTGACCCTTTGAGGTGACCTAATCTTGTGAAGACACAGAGCCATCACTGGGAAAACCATTTTCAGTAAATACCTTTTTCTCCATGTGTAGAGTATTTAAAACAATTATATGTGGACCATTGAGAATACTGAATACGTTTCAATTTGGTCATACATTTGAATTTTAAAAAATAAGTAAATAGTATTGACTTTAAGACCTTTAAACACAGTGGCTAATAAACTCACTTATGTGTTTCATAGTTTTATTTTCTTGGCTTTTTACCCTTATATTCTCTATGTAAATCAGTTTTGATTATTGAGAATTAGCCATTGTGCTGGTTAGTTTTTGGCAACTTTAGACAGACTAGAGTCATCCAGGAAGAGGGGTCCTCAGTTGAGAAAAAGCTTCCAATCAGATTAGTCTTTGGACAAGTCTGTGGAGGTGTTTTCTTAATGACCAATGTGGGAGGGCCATCCTGTGGGCAGTACCGTCCCTGTGAAGGCGAATATCAACCGAATAAGCCGTAGGCAGCAACCCAGTAAGCAGCACTCCTCCATGGTCTGTGCTTCAGTTCCCACCCCCAGGTTCCTGCCCCGATGTCCTCATGATGATAAGCTGTAAGTTGAAATAAAGCCTTTCCTCCCCAGGTTGCTTTTGATGTTTCATCACAGCAATCAAAAGCAAACTAGGACATCCTTTTCTTTTTTTCTTTGTTATGGCTTCACCAACTGGATTGTGAGCTCATGCCCAGATTTTATATGAGTTCTAGGAAAGCTGAATGCAGTCCTCATTCCTGCATAGAAAGCACTTTAGCCACTGACGCACCTCTGCAGCCCTCCCACGTCTTTCTTAACCAGTCCTGGTTTGAGAGATCCCTTGTAAAACTTGTACCACACTTCCATTAACTGTCAACTAGCATTTCATTTCAAAATGTTCTCTCTTCTCATAGGATTTGGAGACACTTGTAGTTCAAGTCCCAGGGGAAGTAAGCTACCCTTCCAAAAGTCAAGCAGCAAATTCCAAAGAGAAACCTCAAACAGGCAAGCTTCAGAAACTTTGGTCTATAAGTCTTAGAACTTTATACTCTCTTGAAACATAATTGGAAATTGGGTTTAACTCTTTAGCTGTCAGAGAAGCATTACTGTGTTAACCAACCTAACCTTTGCTGACGTTAGAGGTCTCTCTCTCAACATGCTGCTCTCAGACCACTTTTATCAAGACCATCCAGCTTGTGTTTTGTGTGGCCATAGAAGTAAGGGTGAAATTGCTGAGTCTGAGTGTAAGGGTCTTGAATGCTGCAATAAGTACCACACCTAGTAGGACAAGATTCACAAACTCAAGTGCCGTCAGGATTTAGGGAACCAAGACTAATTATGAACTATCCCAATAAAGGGAAAAACCACACTAAGCTCTAGCTAGTTGTATGAAATACAGGTTTAGTATTGGCAGATATTGTGATTTTTCAAGGAAAGTTAGGAATGTAACATTTATGTGGCATTTCATAATTTTAAAATTTTGGCATCTAGTTCAAAGAAATTAGTGTTCTTGACATCACCTCCATCAAAGTACAACAGGGATCTCTATAGGCCAGAGTTAGCTTAGGAGTCTCCAGTGGTTCCCTCCATGACAGATGACACAGACATTCAATTTAATCATAAAAGAATTATTCCAGCAGCAGATGGAGAGTGAATCATAGAGGATAGGACCATCAGAAGTATTGTGGCCAATAAGAAAGACAGAACGTGGTGAGACCCAACCTGGGCAGAGATGATGGGGAAAAAGGGATTAGAGTTGGACTTTCACATCCCAGAGATGTTCCTGTGAGATGGTTGACTGAGGAAGTACTTGTCACCAAGCCAGATGGCCTGAGTTTGACCTTCAAAATCCAAATATTGGAAGGAGAGAGATGACTTCGACAACTTGTCCTTCAACCTCCATACTTCTGCCTACGTGTGTGTGTACACACACACACACACACACACACACACACACACAAAGTAAATGTAAAAAATTAATTTTAAAGGTGAGATTTTTAAAATCTCAGAGAAAAGTCCATTCAATTTGATAATTAATAGAATATGATAATGGAGGAGAGGAAAGAATACATTGCAGCTAGTTATATGGAAATATTATCTGAGAATACAGGAACTACAGATTTGGAAAAGAAAAAAATCATCTTAGAAAAGTTCAATTTAAAAGTTTTGCCAAAGTGCATTTGAAAATACTACACTTGATTAGAAATCAAGACAGGAGAGGAATTTTAGCCAAAAGACAAGAAATGCTGACAGCCCTTTATTTGGGGTTCAGTATTTTATATAAATAATCACTTACTGATTATGAGCATCAGTACTACAGGACCATTGGTTCCAGAGACCTGCAGATGTTGGCTTTGTCCACATGCTGTTCTGTTTTTCTGCCACTGGGGCCTTAGACCAGTGCTCTCACACCAGCGAGTCTCTCACATGTCTGCCAAGACTGCTCCATGGGCCGGGAGTTCATCCTCCCTAAGATGCTCTGGGTTTGATCTCCCAGACTATCTAACAGCTTTAAAAAGTTGTCTTCAATCCCTTTCATTTATTGATTCTAAGTTTGAGTCTGATAAAATAAGCAGATAGAAATAGCAAAAGAAATAGAAGAAAAAAAAAAAGCATGAAAACTGTTTTCTGCCCCACACATTAAAAAAAAAAAGCTGCCGGGCGGTGGTGGCGCACGCCTTTAATCCCAGCACTCGGGAGGCAGAGCCAGGCGGATCTCTGTGAGTTCGAGGCCAGCCTGGTCTCCAAAGCGAGTTCCAGGAAAGGCGCAAAGCTACACAGAGAAACCCTGTCTCGAAAAACCAAAAAAAAAAAAAAAAAAAAAAAAAAAAAAAAAAAAAAAGCTACAAATAATTTTGGAATAATTTAGAAGATAAATGGTTTAAAATGTGTGCTCACAGGAAGCCTGTGAAAAACGGTATCAGAAGTTGCTCCAGGGGAGAAGGCCTATGAGAGCTGAGGACCTGGGATGCAAGGCTGCTTGCTTTTCCTCTAATGCCCCCTTCACTCTCTTTCTTCTTTTCTATGTACATAATACTTGTTAATCAAAACTAAAAAGATATAGTCAGCTTATATGACTTTTCCTACTGTATCCACTGTTCATTGCTCTTTACATGGCTATCAATTTTAGTCTTTAAATGATATCTTAATTGTCGCCCACTCAGCAAGGCATTGATGACCATCTTTCAAAAATAGGTACATGTTTCCACACTGCTATTTCCCATGATATTACTCAGACAATTTTCTCACAAGCTTCAGAACCTGTAATTGTGTATATAAGTATGTAAACACATATATAGTGTATGTGTGTGTGCAGGTGCTTGTACACATTGTATGTGTGTGCCTGTGGAAGTCAAGGGACAATCTTGGGTCTCATTCCTCCATGCAGTACATCATTTTATTATTAATATATTATTTATTTATTTCTGTGTATCTATGTGAGTATATATGCACAAGTAGGGAAGGAATATGTTAAGCACATACAGGCCAGAAGAGGGCATTAGGTATCCTTCTCTATCACTCTCCATCTATTTCTTGGAAGTGCGTCTCTCCCTGAGCCTGGGACTCATTTTCTTGGCTAGACTGAGAGTCAGCAAGCACCTGTGAGCCTTCTACAACTGCCCTGCCCAGAGCTGGAGTCAGGTGTGGAGGGACGACACCTGGCTTGTTCTGTGGGTGCTGGGATCTTAACTCCAGTCCCCGGGGTTGTGCAGCCATCACTCTTCAGTGTTGAACCATCTCTCTGGTCTGTTTTGTTTGGGGTTTTTTTTTTGAGGGAAGGGGTTTCAAGGCAGGGTTTATGGTCCTGGCTGTCCTGGAACTCGTTCTATAGACAGTCTGACCTTGAACTCAGAGATCTGCCTGCCTCTGCCTCCCAAGTACTGGGATTAAAGGTGTGCACCACCACCACCCAGCTTTTTTGAATTTTTATTGTTGTTTTATTTTTTGTTTTTTGAGACAGGATAACTCACTGGTCTGGATCTCTCCAAGTAGGCTAGGCTGGCTCCCACAATCCACCTATCTCCATCTCTCTAACACGGTTACAAGCATGCACCATGACACTGATCTGTTTTTAATAGAGTTCTAGAGCTCAAACTCAGGTCTAAGTGCTTACAAGCCAAGCACTTTATCAACTAAACTATTTTTTCAGCTATGACTTTTATTTTCGCATATGGTCTCTTTCTGTGTTAGATAATGCCTCACTTTTGGCTTGTTTACCACTTTGTATCTAGCTCCTAGCTAATATATGGCATGTAATAGTAAATAATAAATGTATTCTAATGTATGAATTTAATGAAATGTTGTGAATTCTAGTACATAGTTATATGAAGGAAGATGGTAATTATGTGAGTCCAGAGTCAGAAAGGAGGATCAAGGTTAAGCAATGGAGTTTAGAAAAGATTTACAGGTTTCTAGGTCATAGAAAATTAAGCATAACACTGAATCTTAAAATTGTTGAATGATTACTTCTTAAAATAGGACTCCTACTAATTTGGAATATGCAAATTGTATTTGTTCTTAAGGAAAGAAAACAGCCAGGTGCGGTCCTAGCACACCACTATGAGTTGAGGCCAGCCTGATCTACATAGTAAGTTCCAGGACAGCCAGAGCTACATAGTGAGACCCTGTTTCAAAGAGAACAATGAGGAGGAGGAGGAAGAAAGAAAATATACCAAGTTCTCAAAGAGTATAGGAAACAATATCAACTTTTGTGTAATAAATATAAGCTTAATATTCTCTACAGAGTAACTATTAATGTAGAAGAGTTTGTTTTTCTTGTTTTTCATATTTCATAAATAATTTATTTTAATTTTTAGTTTTGTTTCATCACATGAGAAGCCAGATATTTATCCATCAGATTGTGCCATGTCCAAGTTTGGTCCATCTCTTGTGGCAGAGTTACCTCAACAAGCTGGAAACGAAAATCTTGTAAGCCATGTACTTTTTGTTTTTATTTTAAATTTTGCTTGAATACTTAACTTTCAGTGGTTGCTGTTTTTTACATTAAAACATAGGTCAATTCACAAGAGAGAAAACAGCCAACTCTCTCACCAGTGATTGAGAGGGTATGCTTTACTCACTCTAAGAAAACACAACAGTCCCTCAATTTTAAGGAAGTGGATATTTTTATTGGAAACAGTGACTCTAAAAAGGAAATTGATCTCAGGTAAGAACATTTATTTCAAGGCTTTACTAGCAAAAATTTTTATAAAGAAATTCAGCATTCTTTTTTGGTTCATTTTAAAGATTTGGGGGGGGGGTGTTTGCAAGTGAGTGCAGCAGTCGGGTCCTTCTGGGGTTGGGGTTACAGGCAGTTGTGAACTGTCTGATGTGGGTGATGGCATTGAATGCAGGTCTTTTGGAAAAGTAGTGCATGTTCTTAACCACTGAGCTATTTCTCCAGACCTTTCTTTGTTCGTTTTAAAGATCAAAGACACCTTTTACTTACTAAAAGCATGGAAATTTTAGATCTCCTGAGAACTGAGATTCCTAGAGCCATCAAGAGTAGATAGACTAATTTTTAAAACCTATAGTTTAATGCTATTAACTGTAAAACACTGAGTTGATAAAGTTGCTTTTACTCATTTGAATACAGTATGTTTTATTGACAGTATAGACTGTAATGTCATTGGAGAAATACCAATGACATCAGCTAACTTACAGAAGTTCAAGCTGTATTTTAGTCAGTCAGCTATTTCACAGTTCAACAGGTTCGATGTCACAGTCATAATAAATCTAATCAGTGCCTTCACTGCTGGCTTTTTTTTTATTAAATTTTTCATTTATTTTGCATACCAACCTTCTCTCTTCCCATTCTCAACCTCCACCTCCCTTCTATTCCCCATACACCACTCCTCAGTTCAGAAAGGAGCAGGCCTCCCATGAGAGTCAATAGAGCATGTCATATCATGTTGAAGCAGGACCAACCTCCTCCACCTGCGTCGAGGCTGGGTGAGGCATCCCTGCTTGGCAGATAGGTTCCAAAAATCCAGCTCGTGTGCCAGGGACAGGTCCTGATCCCGCTGCTAGGGGCCCCACAAACAGGCCAAGCTACAGAAGGCCTAGGTCGTCCCACACAGGTTCCCCAGCTGTCAGCCCAGAGTCCATGGACTCCCACTAGCTCAGGTCAGCGGTCTCTGTGGTTTTCCCCATCATGATCTTGACCCCTCTTGCTCATGTGATCCCTCCTTCCTCTCTTTGACTGGATTCCAGGAGCTCAGCCCAGTGTTTGGCTGTGGATCTTCTCTGCATCTACTTCCATCAGTTACTGGATGGAGGGTAGTCAGCAATCTGATAACAGGAGAAGGCCAGTTCAGGCACCCTCTCCACTGTTGCTACAAGTCTTAGCTGGGGTCATCCTTGTGGATTCCTGGGATTTTCTCTGGCACTAGGTTTCTCCCCTCTATCAAGATACCTCTTTCATTGCTCTCGTCCTTCGTCCTACCCCAAGTGGACCATCCCATTCCCTCATGTCCCCCCCACCCAAGTTTACCCGGGAGATCTCATCCATTTCCCCTTCCCAGGGAAATCCATGTGTCTCTCTTAGGGTCCTCCTGGTTACCTAACTGCTGGCCATTTCTAAGAGGGAAGCTCTGCAGCAGTTTTTTCTTTCCTTTGAGAGTCCAAGCTTAGAAACCCGCTCCTGCTTTTTATTAAGTAGCATTACTTCCGATGTATTTAAAGAAATAATCACAGTTTACAGTCTCTTGTAAACTTCTACCCAGACAAGGTTTTCATACGAAGTGTGTTTGTTGTAGTAGCCTCACAGTGATCTTCAAGTTTACCTACACTGTAATGTTACATTATTTACTCTGTGTTTTAAAATAAACTAGTTTACAAAAAAATCACTTTTACATTTGCTTTTTCCCTCCAGTAAGTATTACCCTGATGATGCGGATGAAGAAAGGAGGGCTCTTCTGGGAATATTTAATGGCATTTTCTAGAAAAAGAAAAGAAAGAAAACAAAGAAACAATTATTTTGCTAATGAACAAAGTATAAACATCTAATCCCCCCAAATGCTTTTTGTTTTTAAAAATAATTGATAATCATTCAGAATTTTTCTCAAATTCGATTCACTTCTTGACTTTCTTACAACAAAATATATGAACTGATACATTTTTATTTCTCTTGTAACTTCTTGAAGAATGGTTTCGCTTCAGCAAACTGATAATTAAGTTATTATAAGTAATTTGTTATTAAACCAATTTTAATAGAAACTAAGGGTTTTTTTTTTTATTTTCTTAAGAAAGGTATCTGACAAAGCAAAATAATGCTGCCCATGAATCTGCAGCTTATTCGTTCACATGGTCTCATGTGCTCTGTTCTGTTGTTCTCACTTCTAGGTTTTCAAGAACCCAGTAGCTTTTGAAAATGTTATTTCACTTTGAGCAGTAATAAATGAAATATTAATTGGTATGAGTTATTGTTTTATTTACCTTGTTTTCTCTTTTTTACAGTATTTTATTTATTTATGTGTCTATATATGATCCTACATGTGTTTCTGTGTACCAAGTCAGTGCAGGAGCTCACAGAAGCCAGAGGAATGTGTCAGATCCCCTGGAACTGGAGTTACAGGTGGTTGTGAGCAGTCATGTAGGTGCTGGGAACTGAACCTGGGTTCTCTGCAAGAACAGGAGGCACTCTTAACTGCCACACTATCTCTCCAGCCGTGTTTCCCTGACTTTGCAGAGCTATGAGATCTAAAAACTGTTATTCTGCCTTTACTATAGCAAAAGATAGTTTCTATTTTCTACTGTAAGTCTTATCTCAAGTTTATTTATTGAGAAGTAAGAGTTTAGGCTAGTTTCTAATTTACTGTATAAATAATAGGTTAAGTTGAAACCACTTAAATTTTAGAACAATGATTTGTCTCTATGCATAAAGATGTAGAGACCAGAGAAGGAAGAAGAGAAACTTGTTAGTGAAATGATTGTTGTCAGTACTAACAAACATTATTAGGAATATGTACTACACCTCCCTCGAAAGCCTAGACCAAAGCTAAGAAGTCTGTCTCCTGTTAAGGAAGTCTGCCTGCCTTTATGATTGGTGTCTCTGGATCTGAACCCATCATACGCAACCTTTAAAGATTCTTCAGATCTATTAAAATGAAAAATGGACACACTAAAACCTGTTTATCTTCTCCTTTGGCACTAAAGAAATAACAATTCATTTCAGTGTGATCTGTTAAGTGAAAAGCACTGTATTTGGTCCTGCAAAGGATGAGGCCACTGTTTCTGTTCTTACAGAATTTACACACTGGTAGAGACAGTAAGAGATGTAATAAAGTGCAGACATGCCTCAGACCTCTAGCATAAAGTGAATCTCACAGTGAAGCAAGTTGTATTAATTTTTTGGTTTCCTGGTGAGTATAAAAGTTATGTTTATACTATGTTGTAGCCTGTTATGTATGCAATAGCATTAATACCTTTAAAAGCAGTGTGGGCATCTTAATTTAAAAATACTCTGTTGCTAAAAATGCTAACAATCATCTGAACTGTTGGAAAACTGGCACCAATAAACTGCTCCTTGTGGGGTTGCATCACCTTCAGCTAACATGCAATGCAGTGTCTGCAAAGGACAATAAAATAAAGGAAGATAAGGTGCAGTGTGCCCATAGAGGGAGCATACAGAGTGCATTGGAGCAGTGCATTGCAGTCACTTGGAGAGATCGTTTGTAGACAGGATGCTCTGTGACATATGCAGAGTTTCTGACTTAGGTCTGGAGTGTTCCTAAGTGGTTTACATTTCCAACAATTTCCCTAAAGGCTCTGTGCTGCAGGTGCAGGGACCACACTGTAATCAAGGTCTTGGCTATGGAGTTAAGGTGGCCTTCAGAGAGAAGTTAAAACTTGACTTCTTAAAAAAATGGGTGATACTTTGTTGAGGGAAAATATAAGAAATGGATATTCTAGAAAGAGGTAACAGTATAAGCAAAGATCCAAGGAGGAAAGTATCTGTTTGGAGAATAGTGAATCAATGTTTTTTTTTTTTTTTTTTAACATAGGTTAATGCTGTAGAGGTTTAGACTGTAACAATGCCGGACTGTGAAGGTCTTGAAATGAAGCCTAGGTTTAATCAGTAGACTAAGTTTCTCAAATTTGCATTATCATAAAAAGCAGGTGTAGTATATTAAATATACAAATTCATGGACCTTACCTGAGATCTAGTGATTCCCTTCAGTGGAGGGATTAGGGAATCCCGTAGATTAAATGAGCATGTCAAATGATATTTTTTTGGGGGGGGGTTAGAGACAGGGTTTCTCTGTGTAGCCCTGGATGTCCTAGAACTTGCTCTGTAGATCAGGCTGGCCTGCTTCTGACTCCCAAGTGCTGGGATTAAAGGCATGTGCCACCACCACCTGGCACAAATGATACTTATAATCAGGTCAGTTAGGGAAGTCTCACACATTAAACTCTTATATTAAGTAATAAAAACTAGGGCTGGAGGGATAGCTCAGCCGTTAAAGGCTAGGCTCACAACCAAAAATATAAGTAATAAAAACTAATGTCAAGTTGGCAGTGTTATAGCTATGCATCATTTACAAGAGTTTCCTGGACAAGTGTTACTATGTTAAGTATGTGTAATTCCAACAGAAAAACGGTTATATATACTAACCCATTATAGGAGACCAATTACTGCTGTTCTTTTCATAAAATGAATAATCACCCTAAATATTCCTATTTACAAGTTAGATTTTGTTTATTCATTGAATGAACCATATGTTAGAGCTGGTAATAAATTCTCTTTGTGGGGCTGGAGACAGCTCGGTCATTAAGAGCCCTGGCTACTCTTGCAGAGGACCCACATTTGGTTCCCAGCACTTACATGGCAGCTCACAACCACCTCTAACTCCAGTTCCAAGGGACCCAACAACCTCTTCTGCCTCCACCGGTATTGCACACATGTGGTGCGCAGATATACACGCAGGCAAAACACTTATATACATAAAAAATAATTAATTAAAAATCTCTTTTGAGAGCTAAATGTTTTCAAAAGTTTTCTCATTTGAGATGTTCCTCAGTGGGCTGTATTTTACATCTTGTTAGCATAATGGCATCCATCTAACAGGTATGTTTTAAGAACTTAGTAAGTCATTGCATAAAAGCTTTTAGTTCAAAAATGGATGCATAGTTTGTTTCCAGTAAGTGGACACACACACACACACACACACACACACACACACACACACACACACACACACACGTTTCTAAAAAACATTTTAAATGTCCCATTGAGCAGTGAGGTAGGAGGAGATAGTGAAATATTCCTTTGAATTACATAAGGACTTGAGAAACAAACCTTCAAGAGATGTATTATCCATATAAGAATACTGTTCCTAAACCTCACTCCTGTACTTTCTTGTCCTTTCAGACATATCTCACTACCCATATCTGCTCCTCATCAACACTATTAGTTGGTGTGTAACCACAACATATAAATCATTATTATTAGCAGAGATAAAATGTAATTACAAAAGAGTTCTGGAAATTCTATTCTAGAACCAAATAACTTCAGTTGTTCGTTGTTCTAAACTTTGGCTTGATTTACTCCTTAGTAGAATCACTTCTTTGTCCTGAGCCTGTTTCTAGTAAATATCCTCGTCAGGCATAGTAAGAAACACTCTTTGAGAGGCCTGAGGTCATAGGGTCATATTTACTTATGGAGCTGTAGATACTAGCTGGTGTCTGCGATTAAGAACATTTGCTTTTATGGGGATATAAAAGGTGCCAGTGAAGACGTTAGGGCAAGGAAGAGTGGGGCATAGCATCAAACAAGATAATCAAGCTAGGACTCTCGTTAGGCTGTGGTCAGTAGGGCAAAGCAAACATCCTTTATGATGGGGGAGCCAGCAGATGGGAAAGCCAGGCCTCAGTCAGAACCTGAATGTTAGCAAGGTTCAAAGTGTAGGAAACTCCTATATATGAAAGACAGGAGGCAATATCGGAATTTTAAGAGAATCTGTTCCAAAAGACATATCTCAGAGTGATGATGATTCCTATTTTCTGCATGTTTCCTACTTTGTTATTGTTCTTTTAAGGCGGGTTCTCACTATGTAGCCCTGGCTGTCCTGGAACTTGCTCTGTAGCAGGCTGGCCTTGGACTCAGAGATCTGCCTGCCTCTACCTTCCTAGTTCTGGGATTAAAGGCGTGTGCCACTATGCCCTGCTTATGTTTCCTACTTACAGTATAATGACAGAGCTCTGTTTAATTGCCTTTCAGAGTAGGTGTTCTTCACCAACTGTGTAGTTACATTTAAAATTCTCGTGCATCAGCTGTGTGTGTAGTTTGAGGGGTACTCAAAGTTCTAAAGGCTCTAGAGTTCTGTTGTAATTAGCATAATAAAGGCAGATAATTCAGAAGAGTCATCTTCGTTTCAGTTTAAAAACCTCCCTCTAGGCCGGGCGGTGGTGGCGCACGCCTTTAATCCCAGCACTCGGGAGGCAGAGCCAGGCGGATCTCTGTGAGTTCGAGGCCAGCCTGGGCTACCAAGTGAGTCCCAGGAAAGGCGCAAAGCTACACAGAGAAACCCTGTCTCGAAAAAACCAAAAAAAAAAAAAAAAAACCTCCCCCTAGCCTAATATATCCCTCAGTGAGCCTTACAAACTTCAGCAAAACCCCATAGAAACACCAGGCGGTGGTGGTACACACCTTTAATCCCAGCACTCTGGAGGCAGAGGCAGGAGATCTCTGGCTTTGAGGGCAGCCTGGTCTACAGAGTGAGTTCCAGGACAGCCAGGGCTACACAGAGAAACCTGTCTTCAAAAACCAAAACAAACAAACAAACAAACAAAAACCTCATACTTGTTCATTCCAAATGATTTAGAAAAATGTACATTAGCTGGTATTTGCACATACATGTTAAAACTATAATTTTTTATTTAATAAAAGGAATTAGGGTGCTGGAGAGATATTTCAGCCTTCAGAGCACTGTCTGTTCTTCCTGGGTTCGGTTCCCAGCACCCACATGGTGGCTCACAACCCTCTGTAACTCCAGTTCTAGGAATCCAGTGCCCTCTTCTGGTCTCTGTAGGTATGCATGAGGTACACAGACATATGTGCAGGCAAAATACTCATGCACATAAAATAATAACTAATTTTAATAATAAAGGAATTATAGTTGATTATGTTACCTCTTTTTGACAGCCGATGGTTGCAGGCCTTTAGGAACTGCATATACAATAACGTGTGGTGATATTGTGTTCTCTCAAATACTGTGCACCCTAATAAACTTATCTGGGGTCAGAGACAGAACAGCTACTGGATACAAAGGCTAGAAAATGTTGGCACTCAAACCTTTAATCCTAGCACTCCAGAGGTAGAAATCCCTCTGGATCTCTGTGAGTTCAAGGCCACATTGGAAACAGCCAGGCATGTGACACATGCCTTTAATCCCAGGGAGTGATGGCAAAAACAGAAAGGT